TTTCATGGTAATTAACCTTGTTGTGAAGTTTGAAGTTAATCCGTTAATAATTACTCGAGATATCGAGCGGACACTGTTTCGGCAAGTCCATAAAGGGGCATAACTCCACAAATTATGGACGAATAATGGCGGTTATCGAACTTGTCCAAGCTTTTATGGTAATTAACCTTGTTGTGAAGTTTGAAGTTAATCCGTTAATAATTACTCGAGATATCGAGCGGACACTGTTTCGGCAAGTCCATAAAGGGGCATAACTCCACAAATTATGGTCGGATAATGGCGGTTATCGAACTTGTCCNTAAAAATAAAAAATGCATTCTCAAAAATTGAATCTGAACAGGGTGATTTTATTTTTCTATACTTTTTCACAATTACTGATTTTTTACTATGTGTTTCTATGACCCATTATCACAGATGCATGTTATCAGTTTAAGATGTTGCTTCCCTCATAGATACATATATTTTTTTTTATCAATTATTAACAGTTCAGACAGGAGCTGTGTCAGCGGATATGTTTGTTTGTTTGTTTGTTTGTCTATGTTTAACGGCCCATCGACGGCTGTGGTCATTTAGGGCCATGGTGATTTATTTATTGATTCTATTTTTTAACAAACATTTAACAGCGGATATGTAGTGTTATTAAAAAATACCTGATCAATTAAAGTTTGTATAGAGTTTAATTAATTAAAGTATACCATCAATAAGGCCAGAGAGTCCAATAAATCACATTAATTGACAAATAAACACAGCTGTTTACATGGTAAAATCAATAGGCTGACGACTGACACATCAAGATAACTAAAACCAGTCTATGGAACCACAACGGTAACACACCTAAGCTTTTTATATAGAGATCAAAATGAATGCTTTTGTTGTATCTTGATCGTGAATTCAAAGCATCAACTCTTTATGTGTGCTGCAAATCATGATATTCATACTTGTCAGAAACATTTAAACTTCAACAACATGACAAATGTATTGTCTTGATTAAGGAGAGTCATTTGGCATACCAATTAATCAATTTGATAAGGTCAATCAAAGACCTTCAAACTGTACTTGAGCAGCAGCAGAAACACTAATCAGGGCAATGAGAATATAATTCATACAAACTTTAATTGGTTATAATTTGAATGTCTGCTCTTAAGAAATATGTTTTTCATCCAATCCCATGAGGCAATGATCATCTCATAATTACAACATGTCTTTACTCACAGCAATTGTCCACCCTAATCAACTTATTGGTTTTCAATGAAAACAACATACAGAGACAAAATGCAGCCTGCATTGGATTCACATCTCAGAACATATTCCTTACTACATTGGATTCACATCTCGGAGACATACTCCTACCTACACTGGATTCACATCTCGGAGACATAATGCTACCTACACTGGATTCAAATCTCAGAGACATACTGCTACCTACACTGGATTCACATCTCAGAGACATACTCCTACCTACACTGGATTCAAATCTCAGAGACATACTCCTACCTACACTGGATTCACATCTCAGAGACATACTGCTACCTACACTGGATTCAAATCTCAGAGACATACTCCTACCTACACTGGATTCACATCTCAGAGACATAATGCAGCCTACACTGGATTCGCATCTCAGAGACATAATGCAGCCTACACTGGATTCACATCTCAGAGACATAATGCAGCCTACACTAGATTCGCATCTCAGAGACATAATGCAGCCTACACTGGATTTATATCTTAGGCACATATTATAACCTACACTGGATTCACATATCAGAAACACCCTGCAACCTACATTGGATTCACATTTCAAGAGTTATACTTATACCTACACTGGAATCACATCTCAGAGATATAATGTAGCCTACACTGGATTCAAATCTAAGAGACATATTATTATCTACATTGGATTCTAACCTCAGACACATATTATTACCTACACTGAATTAACATCTGAGAAACATAATGCAGCCTACACTGGATTCACATCTTAGAATTATACTCCTACCTACACTGGATACACATCTAAGAGACATATTATTATCTACATTGGATTCTAACCTCAGACACATATTATTACCTACACTGAATTAACATCTCAGAGACATAATGCAGCCTACACTGGATTCACATCACAGAATTATACTTATACCTACATTATATTTTTACATCTCAGAGACATACTCTTACCTTCACTAGATTCACACCTCAGACACATATTATTACCTACCCTGGATTCACACCTCAGAGACATACTGCAGCCTACACTGGATTCACATCACAGAATTATACTCCTACCTACACTGGATACACATCTAAGAGACATACTGCAACCTAAACTGGATTCACATCTCAGTAACATATTATTACCTACACTGGATTTACATCTCAGAGAAGACATGATGCAGCCTATACTGGATTCACATCTCAGAGACATACTGCTACCTACACTGGATTGACATCTCAGAGACATACTCCTACCTACATTGGATTGACATCTCAGAGACATAATGCTACCTACACTTGGTTCACATCTCAGAGACATAATGCAACCTACACTGGATTCACATCTCGGAGACATACTCCTACCTACACTGGATTCACATCTCAGAGACATAATGCTACCTACACTGGATTGACATCTCAGAGACATACTATTACTACCTACTCTGGATTGACATCTCAGAGACATACTACTACTACCTACACTGGATTGACATCTCAGAGACATACTACTACTACCTACACTGGATTCACATCTCAGAGACATAATGCTACCTGCACTGGATTCCCATCTCAGAGACATAATGCACCCTACACTGGATTGACATCTCAGAGACATAATGCTACCTACACTGGATTCACATCTCAGAGACATACTCCTACCTACATTGGATTCACATCTCAGAGACATAATGCTACCTTCACTGGATTCCCATCTCAGAGACATAATGCAACCTACACTGGATTGACATCTCAGAGACATACTACTACTACCTACACTGGATTGACATCTCAGAGACATAATGCAACCTACACTGGATTGACATCTCAGAGACATAATGCTACCTACACTGGATTGACATCTCAGAGACATACTACTACTAGCTACACAGACACACAGACGTCATGTACACACCATCCTATATATATTAATTTATATAAATATTGTTATAAATGCCATGTTTTGTTCAGCACCTTAGAGTAAGTTTACAAATTATAACGGGCTCTATATAAATGTTTATTATTACACTGGATTCACATCCCAGAGATATAATGCAGCCTACCCTGGGTATTCCTCAGCTATCCAGTGTCCATGGGCAAGCAGTCGGCGACAGCGCAGCTGTGACTCCACTTCTGATGGCAGGCCTTCACTCGGCACCCGACTGAAGCTAAACCCACTACAATAAACATCAGCTAACTGTTACAAGTTATATAAGTCAAGGTTTGCATACACATAACTATCATTATGAAAAAACTATCCAGAAAGTATTTCAATACTCTTGCTTACTGAATCAAATATCTATTATATGATAAAAGCCTTAAAAATACTTCAAAAAGAATCACATGTACACCTGCTTGTAATAGCCATCTGACAGGAAAGCCATCTTCATAGTCAGGTTGCCTCAATATAGTGAGATTCAACAGAAATATGAACAACTGGGAACTTGTCACCTTCCTTTGTTGACAGGATTTTGCTATTAAACAAGAGGCCCAATTGGCCTGCATCGCTCACCTAGTATTAATCTCACACTTGTAATCTTAAAAATGGACTAAAATACAGCTACAGGCAGAATATAGGTGTTTGATTCATAAGAACCTATTAAAAGATTGAAACATATGACGCCTGCGACCTTGAATGTCCAACAAGGACATTAGGTTGAGTTTATAGTCTTCCAACCCAAGCATGATTCTAGTAAAATATCATTAACCTGGACCTTTTGGTTATACAGCATATTAATGGCCAAATATCATCATCCTTGGCCTTTTGCTTATTGAGAAGATGTCGTTCAAAGGTTTTGAACATATTTGACCCCTGTGACCTTGAATATATGTCAAGGTCATTCATTTGAACAAACTTGGTAGTCCTTCATCCCAGCATGTTACTGGCCAAATATCATTATCCAAGGCATCTTGGTTATTCAGAAGAGGTTGTTCAAAGGTTTTAAACATATTTGACCACTGTGACCTTGAATATAAGTCAAGGTCATTCATTTGAACATACTTGGTAGCCCTTCATCCCAGCATGCTACTGGCCCAAAATCAGTACCCTGGGCCTTTTTGGTTATTGAAAAGAAGTTGTTTGAAAGTTTTGATACATTTGACCCATGTGACCTTAAAAGTGGGTCAAGGTCATTCATTTGAATAAATTTAGTAGCCCTTAATCCCAGCATGCTACAGTCCCAATATCAGTACCCTTGGCCTTTTGGTTATTGAGAAGAAGTTGTTTAAAGTAAAATATTGACGCCAGACGGCGGACATCGGACGATGCATGATATTGGCTATAGGTAAGAAATGAAACATTCAAATGGTCTTAAAAACATGCCTGTGAGCCTTCTCAAGTGGCTGAAAACATCGCAGTTCTGCATCCTCTGTCAGGGGTAAATCCTCATCTGATAAAAAAGGAAATTATTTTGAAGAATCGATTTTTCACATCTACAGTTTTGTAGTTTCACAACACCAAGTTCATTTTCACAACACCAGTTAAGTTTTTACTACACTGGTTTTTCGTCTTCACAAAGTCATTTGAGGTTTTATTACACTAATTTAGTTTATTATTTTAAAATGTATCAAAATTTATAAATTTATCCTTTGAATTACATATTCCAAAATACTTGAATTTTATCACAATAGTGATGCTATGCTTCATTATGGAATACTTTTATTGAAATATTAATTCAATTACTTTTGTACTTATTTTATGAAATCTCTATAAAATTACCAAAACTTGTAAGATTGGTTATCTGGTATGTTTGGAGAGTACACTGAAGAAAGGTTGACAGGGGATCTATGGCTTTGAGCCCTATGAGAGGATTTATTCCTGTAACAAGTCCATGAGACACAGGACATACAGATTGATGTTCTGTCAGAGGGACAAAGACTTCTATGGTCAGGAGGATAAAATAATATCTCTGAAAATGTCATGCTAGTATCTGGAATGGAACCACAACAGTCTGTAGAAGACCAACGACTTAATAGTAGACAAATATGTGATCACTAAATAGTTTCGGCCTTATTTTAGAGTCATTTTTAACTAATGGTTTGTTTGTTTGGGTTTTTGGTGTTTTTTTCAAAACTTTGGTTTGATGTTCATATGTATAGTTGAAATGAGTTGAGTAGTCTACTCACACTTGCCAATGTCAAGCTTGCCCTCCTTGGGAGCAGATGATGGTCGGATGTTGTTCAGGACTTTACACAAATTCACCCACAGACTGGAAATCAAACACAAATATTCAAATCAATTGTGATCAAAACAAATCTGCTTAAAAAAACCACTTCATCCATTTTATTTTTTATTTTTCAATGATGTGGCAACTGTTACAATGTATCTCTCCAACTTACCAATCGTTTTAATTTCCCAGAAGTAACTACCAGACAAGCACTGGAATAATTCGACCAATGACCCATTTACCAGAAAATCATATGTAACACACCATCTATTTGGTCAAAATACATCTACAGTATAACCCCGATATACCGCCACCTTCCGTTCAAAGACATTTTGGTGGAACAACGGGTGGCGATACATCAAGGTTATACTGTATATAAGACATTTCATAAAATAATATTCTGTCACTTGTTTTGGCTCAAGTGGACATTATCCCCAGTCTGACCTCGTTGGACAATGGAACAGAAGGAGATGGGGTATTTATAAACAACCCTCTTAACAGGTCTGATAGGTAGTGGACTATTTGTAAACAACCCTGTTAACAGGTCTGATAGGTAGCGGACTATTTATAAACAACCCTGTTAACAGGTCTGCTAGGTAGTGGACTATTTATAAACCAATGCTGTTAACAGGTCTGATAGGTAGTGGACTATTTAGAAACAACCCTGTTAACAGGTCTGATAGGTAGTGGACTATTCATAAACAACTCTCTTAACAGGTCTGATATGTAGTGGACTATTTATAAACAACCCTCTTAACGGGTCTGATAGGTAGTGGACTATTTATAAACACCCCTGTTAACAGGTCTGATAGGTAGTGGACTATTTATAATCAAACCTGTTAACAGGTCTGATAGGTAGTGGACTATTTACAAACAACCCTGTTAACAGGTCTGATAGGTAGTGGGCTATTTATAAACAACCCTGTTAACAGGTCTGCTAGGTAGTGGACTATTTATAAACCAATGCTGTTAACAGGTCTGATAGGTAGTGGACTATTTAGAAACAACCCTGTTAACAGGTCTGATAGGTAGCGGACTATTTATAAACCAATGCTGTTAACAGGTCTGATAGGTATTGGACTATTTATAAACAACCCTGTTAACAGGACTGATAGGTAGTGGACTATTTATAAACAACCCCGTTAACAGGTCTGATAGGTAGTGGACTATTTAGAAACAACCCTGTTAACAGGTCTGATAGGTAGTGGGCTATTTATAAACAACCCTGTTAACAGGTCTGCTAGGTAGTGGACTATTTATAAACCAATGCTGTTAACAGGTCTGATAGGTATTGGACTATTTATAAACAACCCTGTTAACAGGACTGATAGGTAGTGGACTATTTATAAACAACCCAGTTAACAGGTCTGATAGGTAGTGGACTATTTATAAGCAACCCTGTTAACAGGTCTGATAGGTAGTGGGCTATTTATAAACAACCCTGTTAACAGGTCTGATAGGAAGTGGACTATTTATAAACAACCCTGTTAACAGGACTGATAGCTAGGGGACTATTTATAAACAACCCTGTTAACAGGTCTGCTAGGTAGTGGACTATTTATAAACCAATGCTGTTAACAGGTCTGATAGGTAGTGGACTATTTATAGACAACCCTGTTAACAGGTCTGATAGGTAGTGGGCTATTTATAAACAACCCTGTTAACAGGTCTGATATGTAGTGGACTATTCATAAACAACTCTCTTAACAGGTCTGATATGTAGTGGACTATTTATAAACAACCCTCTTAATAGGTCTGATAGGTAGTGGACTATTTATAAACGACCCTGTTAACAGGTCTGATAGGTAGTGGACTATTTATAAGCAACCCTGTTAACAGGTCTGATAGGTAGTGGCCTATTTATAAACAACCCTGTTAACAGGTCTGATCGGTAGTGGACTATTTATAAACCAATGCTGTTAACAGGTCTGATAGGTAGTGGACTATTCATAAACCAATGCTGTGATGATAAATTGATAAACCTTGTGTAATTGAGACTTCTATAAAGTTTTACCTTGAGGTCTTCAGGATAGGATTGTGGAGGTGTTCGGGGTTGAGTTTGAACCAATCTAACAAAAGTTTTACAGCAGGCAGAGTGAAGAAATCACGCAACTTTTGTTCTTGTTTTGGGGTGTACTGTAGCAGCACATCAAGCACAAGTACTGAAATATAATCGTAACACATGTTTACACCCAGAAACCACAATATCCAACAGTAGTTACCTGGTAGTAACCCTAACAGATATCTCTGTAGGACCCTGCAGGTAAACTTAATTACCACATATCTAGGTAATACCAAAGTAATGTAGTGATGTCTGATATCTCAGTATTGCTCAGGTGATTTTCATCACCATGAGTATGTAGGTATTTCATGGCTAAATCAACTAATCAGTGTGCACTTCATATTAAACAAAAAAGGTTTTTAAGATGTAGGGAACGTAAGGTTGATGACAATATTTCATACAAATGCCTTCAAAGGTTTTAAGATTTTAATGCAACAGATTTTGTTTGCTTTGGCATCTCCAACAAACCTGATGAATTCTTAATGTTCCACTAGTATGTAATTAAACTTTCATTAGTTTGGTTGGCACATTAAAGCACTACACATCAGGGAAGATCACTCGTGATAGTCCAACACAGTAAAGCACTACACAGCAGGGAAGATCACTCGTGATAGTCCAACACAGTAAAACAGATAGACGACAATGAGTGTGATAGTCAAACACAGTAAAACAGATGGGGGGGAATGATTGTGATAGTCCAAAACAGTAAAACAGATAGAGGACAATGATTGTGATAGCCCAACACAGTAAAACAGAAAGACGACAATAGTCTAACACCGTAAAACAGATAGACGACACTGATTGTGATAGTCCAAGACAGTAAAACAAATAGACGACAATGAGTGTTATAGTCCAACACAGTAAAACACATAGACGACAATGATTGTCATAGTCCAACACAGTAAAGCAGATAGACGACAATGATCGTGATAGTCCAACACAGGAAAACAGATAGACGACAATAGTCTAACACAGTAAAACAGAAAGACGACAATGATTGTGATATTCCAACACAGTAAAACAGATGGGGGGGAATGATTGTGATAGTCCTACACAGTAAAACAGATAGCCGACAATGATTGTGATAGTCCAACACAGTAAAACAGATAGACGACAATGATTGTGATAGACTAACACAGTAAAACAGATAGACGACAATAGTCTAACACAGTAAAACAGATAGACGACAATGATTGTGATAGTCCAACACAGTAAAACAGATAGACGACAATGATTGTGATAGTCTAACACAGTAAAACAGATAGACGACAATGATTTTCTAACTATAGTCACACATTTTAATGACCAACTGTCTTAACAAAATAAACAAAATTGATAGTTCAAAGGTTCTTTTAAAAACATTCTTAAGTGTGGTTAGTAAGGAAACAACAGTAAGCGATTGTAATAGGTTAAATCATTGCAAGAAAAATGTGAGCCTTTCAGAGGACATCTACACATACTTGTGAATTTGAACATGAGTTGAAATGAAGTCTCTTCATCCACAGTCAAGCTTTCATATAGGTGTCCATTGCTGAGATCTTCAGAGTCCGACGACAACTGTCGCCTGGCATGCTGCATTGCGAAGATGTTGATGGCAATAATCTGCACTAGAATACCCGACGGAAAACTCTGTGACGTTACATGTGCTGGTAAGGCTGCCACTAGTTTTTCACTAAGCAGCTCTGCTCTCTGGAGTTCTGTGGAAACCAGTGTTTTAGTTAGTTAGTTTTGTGCTTTCTTATATATGAAGACTGGAAGGAGTACCATTTACCTATACATATGTATAAGACTGAGACACTACACATGTGTATGTTCAGTACCAACTAGCAGGGCGGCCAAGTACACAAGTACAGAATCTTGGCACTTCATAGGAGAGAAATTATAATCCACTGCGAATTTGCTCTGTTAATGATAGTATCATCAATTTCTTTTATTTGAAATAATAGGCCATTCACAACATTAAAACAACATAATAAACCCTTACATGCAAGTCATAAGATGTTCCAACACTATGTATTACATGCCAATCTGTGTTTAAACAAATTAACTGTGTATACACAACCAGAAGTAAGGCCTACACAGATTTATCATTGTAGGGTAGCAGTGTACAGTAGAGGGTTGTGGCCATGGGTGATATTTTTGTTAAATGGCTAACCCCTGTATAATGATATGTAAAAAAATTATAAAAATAAAACTGTACTAAAATTGGTATAAGCTTGATGAAGTGGGCTATGTGAGCTTCACATTTGTAAAAAAGAAGGAAGATTTTTTTGGTTCGAGAAAATTTTGGCCATAATCCGAAAGGGTGCGTACACATGAAAAGCTAGCTTTACAGGAGGTAAAATTTTGACAACAGCACACGACGCAAAATTGCAAAAAATCAATGCAACCAGGTGGGTAATCTTTAATTTCAGACAGAGCTTAGGAAAAAAATTACTAACTGCGGGGGTCAAATTTTGGGTTGAAAATAGCAATTTTTGGCATTTTTTGGTAATTTTTGATGTGGTAACCATGGTTTTCACACAAGTGACATACATAGAAAAAAGAGGTTTATACACTTCTCAGTACTTTATATGTATTGTAAATGTAATGCAGTTTACAAATATATATACATGTATACATGTGTTGTGTAGGGTAAATCCGCTGTGTTTACATTTCCTCGACATGTGCCTTGTTTATCAGAGTCGGGCCATTTCTACTGTATTCTGTTACCTAGATGATCATGTTATCAAGCTAGACATCAGCATCAACACTAAACAGTAACATTTCACTAGCAAACAGGAAAAAGGCAAGTGCCTGAGGTATAGAAATATTTCATTATTTTACTTCTCTGACACAGGTGATGACAAGACTTTTTACAATTTGACAGGTACCACTTAATAAGCACATGTTTTTAGACCTGGTTTCTTATCAAATCCAAACTGTATTTAGGTACTTCAGTACTCATTACAGCCTATTTTAAACTAAATATTCACAAGGCATTTGTGAAAAGTGTAAAACATCTGACGATATTTATGAACAACACACACTAATGTATAGAAGTAGACATTGATAGTGATTTAAAGTTTTACACTCATATATCAAATTTATGTAGAAAGGCTTCTATTCAATTGAGTGTGCTAAAAAGAATTGGAAACAACTGTACAAAAATGGGCAAAATCACTAATTTTAAATCCTTTATTTTATCAAATTTTAACTTTTGCCCTCTAGCTTGGCATTTTTGCAATAAAAGCAATAACTTGGAAGATGGTAAAAGCCCTGCGTTTTACAGAAAATGATTTTACCACTCCTTATTTAGTTGTAGTTCTTTCTTTATCTTCAAACTGGTCATCTAGCTGACTGGAATAAGTGTTATCATTTTTGTTTGCATGCTAAATCTGTTTGAACTCTGTGATATCCACTGTTTTTGTTCGCATGCTAAATCTGTTTGATCTCTGTGATTTCCACTGTTTTTGTTTGCATCCTAAATCTGTTTGAACTATGTGATATCCACTGTTTTTGTTTGCATGTTAAATCTGTTTGACCTCTATGATATCCACTGTTTTTTTTTGCATGCTAAATCTGTTTGACCTCTATGATATCCACTGTTTTTGTTTGCATGCTAAATCTGTTTGAACTCTGTGATATCCACTGTTTTGTCATTGAATGTTTGATTGTGTTGCTTATTCTTATTTTGTGTTCTCTTGTTCTCATTTAAAAATGACTACATTATTATTTTATATTTTGGTGTTATAGGGCTAGGTAGGTAGAGCCCAACCACCTGTCCTGTGACACCCCACACATATATCCTTTAATCTTTTAGTGCTGTATAACCTGTGTATATGGTTATATTAACATTTACCTTTCTTATATAACTTAAGTGTTTTTTATTTAGCTCACCTATATTTTATTCATGTAGGCTTATGTTTATTTTGCATGTTGTTTTTGGTTGTTTTAAATTATACCTATGTTTGTCGCAGAAATAGCTCTACCGAGCGAATGTTTGTATGTTTATGGTATGCGACGTTAAATAAATATTCTTGTATCTTGGAAGACTGATAACTTACCAACACACATGTGTATGAATGCCTGGAACTGGAGAAAGGCTGTGATCATCTCACTGACAGACAGCTTCCCTTTCAACTCACAACTGATGGGTGAACAAGATTAAACAAGTTACATAACATTGTGACAGAATTAATGTACAGGACAATCACTACCTCATCAATTAGTGTTTCAGTGTAACAAGATGGGAAACAAGCAAGGAGCAAGACCAGGATTGTAACATGTGGAAGACAGATGTATTGTACTATCTGGTCAGAGGACAATCACTACCTCATCAATAAGTGTTTCAGTGTAACAAGATGGGAAACAAGTAGTGAGCAACACCAGGATTGTAACATGTGAAGACAGATGTACTGTACTATCTGGTCAGAGGACAATCACTACCTCAACAAGCAAGGAGCAAGACCAGGATTGTAACATGTGTAAGACAGATGAACTGTACTTTCTGGTCACAGGACAATCACTTTCTCATCAATAAGTGTTTCAGTGTAACAAGATGTGAAACAAGCAAGGAGCAAGACCAGGATTACAAGTAGTGAGCAACACCATGATTGTAACATGTGAAGACAGATGTACTGTACTACCTGGTCACAGGACAATCACTCCCTCATCAATAAGTGTTTCAGTCTAACAAGATGGGAAACAAGTAGTGAGCAAGATGAGGATTGTAACATGTGGAAGACAGATGAACTGTACTATCTGGTCACAGGACAATCACTTCCTCATCAATAAGTGTTTCAGTGTAACAAGATGGGAAACAAGTAGGGAGCAATAACAGGATTGTAACAAGAGGAAGACAGATGTACTGTACTATCTGGACAGAGGACAATCACTACCTCATCAATTAGTGTTTCAGTGTAAAAAGATGGTAACCAAGTAGTGAGCAAGACCAGGATTGATGTGGAAGACAGATGTACTGTACTATCTGGACAGAGGACAATCACTACCTCATCAATAAGTGTTTCAGTGTAACAAGATGGGAAACAAGTCAGGAGCAAGACGAGGATTGTAACATGTGTAAGACAGATTTACTGTACTATCTGGTCACAGGACAAGCACTATCTCATCAATTAGTGTTTCAGTGTGACAAGATGGAAACAAGTAGTGAGTATCACCAGGCTTGTAACATGTGGAAGACAGATGTATTGTACTATCTGGTCAGAGGACAATCACTACCTCATCAATTAGGGTTTCAGTGTAACAAGATGGGAAACAAGTAATGAGCAAGACGAGGATTGTAACATGTGTAAGACAGATGTACTGTACTATCTGGGCACAGGACAATCACTATCTCATCAGTTAGTGTTTCAGTGTAACAAATAAGTGTTTCAGTGTAACAAGATGGGAAAAAAGACAGGAGCAAGACCAGGATTGTAACATGTGGAAGACATATTGACTGTACTATCTGGTCACAGGACAAGCACTATCTCATCAATTAGTGTTTCAGTGTCTATCTCATCAATTAATGTTTCAGTGTAACAAGATGGGAAACAAGTCAGGAGCAAGACCAGGATTGTAACATGTGGAAGACAGACGTACCGTACTATCTGGTCACAGGACAAACACTTCATCAATTAGTGTTTCAGTGCAAAAATATGGGATACAAGTAGTGAGCAAGTCGAGGATTGTAACATGTGTAAGACAGATTTACTGTACTATCTGGTCACAGGACAAGCACTATCTCATCAATTAGTGTTTCAGTGTAACAGGATGGGAAACAAGTAGTGAGTAACACCAAGATTGTAACATGTGGAAGACAGATGAACTGTACTTTCTGGTCACAGGACAATCACTTCCTCATCAACAAGTGTTTCAGTGTAACAAGATGGGAACCAAGTAGTGAGCAACACCAGGATTGTAACATGTGAAGACAGATGGACTGTACTATCTGGTCAGAGGACAATCACTACCTCATCAATTAGGGTTTCAGTGTAACAAGATGGGAAACAAGTGGTGAGCAAGACGAGGATTGTAACATGTGGAAGACAGACGTACCGTACTATCTGGTCACAGGACAATCGCTATCTCATCAATTAGTGTTTCAGTGTAACAAGATGGGAACCAAGTAGTGAGCAACACCAGGATTGTAACATCTGGAAGACAGATGTACTGTACTATCTGGTGACAGGACAATCACTATCTCATCAATAAGTGTTTCAGTGTAACAAGATGGGAACCAAGTAGTGAGCAACACCAGGATTGTAACATCTGGAAGACAGATGTACTGTACTATCTGGTCAGAGGACAATCACTACCTCATCAATAAGTGTTTCAGTGTAACAAGATGGGAAACAAGTAAGGAGCAAGACCAGGATTGTTACATGTGGAAGACAGATGTACTGTATTATCTGGTCACAGGACAATCACTATCTCATCAATTAGGGATTCAGTGTAAGAAGATGGGAAACAAGTAGTGAGTAACACCAGTATTGTAACATGTGGAAGACAGATGAACTGTACTTTCTGGTCACAGGACAATCACTTCCTCATCAATAAGTGTTTCAGTCTAACAAGATGGGAAACAAGTAGTGAGTATCACCAGGATTGTAACATGTGGAAGACAGACGTACCGTACTATCTGGTCACAGGACAATCGCTTCATCAATTAGTGTTTCAGTGCAAAAATATGGGAAACAAGTAGTGAGCAAGGCGAGGATTGTAACATGTGTAAGACAGATTTACTGTACTATCTGGTCACAGGACAATCCCTACCTCATCAATTAGTGTTTCAGTGTAACAAATAAGTGTTTCAGTGTAACAAGATGGGAACCAAGTAGTGAGCAACACCAGGATTGTAACATCTGGAAGACAGATGTACTGTACTATCTGGGCACAGGACAATCACTATCTCATCAGTTAGTGTTTCAGTGTAACAAATAAGTGTTTCAGTGTAACAAGATGGGAAAAAAGACAGGAGCAAGACCAGGATTGTAACATGTGGAAGACAGACGTACCGTACTATCTGGTCACAGGACAATCACTTTCTCATCAATAAGTGTTTCAGTGTAACAAGATGGGAACCAAGTAGTGAGCAACACCAGGATTGTAACATGTGAAGACAGATGGACTGTACTATCTGGTCAGAGGACAATCACTACCTCATCAATAAGTGTTTCAGTGTAACAAGATGGGAAAAAAGACAGGAGCAAGACCAGGATTGTAACATGTGGAAGACAGACGTACCGTACTATCTGGTCACAGGACAAACACTTCATCAATTAGTGTTTCAGTGCAAAAATATGGGAAACAAGTAGTGAGAGTGTTTCAGTGTAACAATATGGGAAACAAGTAAGGAGCAAGACGAGGATTGTAACATGTGGAAGACAGACGTACCGTACTATCTGGTCACAGGACAAACACTTCATCAATTAGTGTTTCAGTGCAAAAATATGGGAAACAAGTAGTGAGAGTGTTTCAGTGTAACAATATGGGAAACAAGTAAGGAGCAAGACGAGGATTGTAACATGTGGAAGACAGATTTACTGTACTATCTGGTCACAGGACAAGCACTATCTCATCAATTAGTGTTTCAGTGTAACAGGATGGGAAACAAGTAGTGAGTAACACCAGTATTGTAACATGTGGAAGACAGATGAACTGTACTAGCTGGTCACAGGACAATCACTATCTCATCAATAAGTGTTTCAGTGTAACAAGATGGGAAACAAGTCAGGAGCAAGACGAGGATTGTAACATGTGTAAGACAGATTTACTGTACTATCTGGTCACAGGACAATAACTATCTCATCAATTAGTGTTTCAGTGTGACAAGATGGAAACAAGTAGTGAGTATCACCAGGCTTGTAACATGTGGAAGACAGATGTACTGTATTATCTGGTCACAGGACAATCACTATCTCATCAATTAGTGTTTCAGTGTAACAAGATGGGAAACAAGTAGCTATAGTGAGCTAGACGAGGATTGTAACATGTGGAAGACAGATGTACCGTACTATCTGGTCACAGGACAATCACTTCATCAATTAGTGTTTCAGTGCAAAAATATGGGAAACAAGTAGTGAGCAAGACGAGGATTGTAACATGTGTAAGACAGATGTACTGTACTATCTGGTCACAGGACAATCACTACCTCATCAGTTGGTGTTTCAGTGTAAAAAGATGAGAAACAAGTAGTGAGTAAGACGAGGATTGTAACATGTGGAAGACAGATGTATTGTTTTATCTGGTCACAGGCAATCCACTCATTAAGCTACTGATTTTTGAATAAGGTAGATAACAGGATTGTAACATGTGGAAGACAGATGTACCGTACTATCTGGTCACAGTACAATCACTACCTCATCAGTTGGTGTTTCAGTGTAAAAAGATGGGAAACAAGTAGTGAGCAAGACCAGGATTGTAAATTGTGGAAGACAGATGTACTGTTCTATCTGGTCACAGGCAATCCACTCATTAAGCTACTGATTTTTGAATAAGGTAGCATGGTGCATATACTGTTGGGTTCTTTGTTACATACACCATTTTGTAATCTTTAACATCATATACACATATTTAGTCATTATGTATCATATATATCATCAAAAAAAATCATCTGGTTTCTAAAAGACAGGTTTGTGCAAAAAGTTCAGTTAAAAATCTACAGAACAACCCATAATGTCAGACTCAAGGATGGGTGTAAGCTTATTACAAGACAACACATAATGTCAGACTCTAGGATGGGTGTAAGCTTATTACAGGACAACACATAATGTCAGACTTAAGGATGGATGTAAGCTTATTACAGGACAGCACATAATGTCAGACTCAACCATGGGTGTAAGCTTATTACAAGACAACCCATAATGTCAGACTCAAGGCTGGTTGTTAGCTTATTACAGGACAACACACATAATGTCAGACTCAGGCATGGGGGTAAGCTTATTACAGGACACCACATAATGTCAGACTCAACCATGGGTGTAAGCTTATTACAAGACAACACATAATGTCAGACTCAAGGATGGGTGTAAGCTTATAACAGGACAACACATAATGTCAGACTTAAGGATGGATGTAAGCTTATTACAGGACAACACATAATGTCAGACTCAGGCATGGGTGTAAGCTTATTACAGGACAACACATAATGTCAGACTCAAGGATGGTTGTTAGCTTATTACAGGACAACCCATAATGTCAGACTTAAGGATGGATGTAAGCTTATTACAGGACAATGAATTAGCTTTTGTTGGTATTACCTGTTATAGGTTAGGTATGTGTGTGCTGATTACCAGGCATGGGCTTGTTGCTAGATAAATGGTATACAATAAACTTACGGATCTTTGGCCAGTTTGTTGTAAAGTTTCTCCAGGTTGGTTGCAGCCACAGGGAATGGGTGTCTCACCGCCAGACTGCGGATGTAGTAGAACACAGTGGAAAGCTTGTTCCCGTAGGCTGCCTCCACTATAGCCAGCTGGTTGTAGGGCTGGCCTATAAAGGTATCATAGAGAAACATTGACAAGTTTTACCTCCACTATAGCCAGCTGGTTGTAGGGCTGGCCTATAAAGGTATCATAGAGAAACATTGACAAGTTTTACCTCCACTATAGCCAGCTGGTTGTAGGGCTGGCCTATAAAGGTATCATAGAGAAACATTGACAAGTTTTACCTCCACTATAGCCAGCTGGTTGTAGGGCTGGCCTATAAAGGTATCATAGAGAAACATTGACAAGTTTTACCTCCACTATAGCCAGCTGGTTGTAGGGCTGGCCTATAAAGGTATCATAGAGAAACATTGACAAGTTTTACCTCCACTATAGCCAGCTGGTTGTAGGGCTGGCCTATAAAGGTATCATAGAGAAACATTGACAAGTTTTACCTCCACTATAGCCAGCTGGTTGTAGGGCTGGCCTATAAAGGTATCATAGAGAAACATTGACAAGTTTTACCTCCACTATAGCCAGCTGGTTGTAGGGCTGGCCTATAAAGGTATCATAGAGAAACATTGACAAGTTTTACCTCCACTATAGCCAGCTGGTTGTAGGGCTGGCCAATAAAGGTATCATAGAGAAACATTGACAAGTTTTACCTCCACTATAGCCAGCTGGTTGTAGGACTGGCCTATAAAGGTATCATAGAGAAACATTGACAAGTTTTACCTCCACTATAGCCAGCTGGTTGTAGGGCTGGCCTATAAAGGTATCATAGAGAGACATTGACAAGTTTTACCAGGCAAGCATAGAGTTTACAGCGAGTCTTCAATAAACCCACCTCTATATACATCTGGTAGTCAAATTTGTAAACTGTCCATTAACAAATAACACGGAGAAACAATGACATCAACATGTCCTTTTTATATACAACATTATCCCAAATATTACCAACTAGCATTTGGCTAGATATATCAACAAAAGGCCCACAGGGCTTTATCCTCCACCTGTTATTGCAAGATGCTCAAAAACAAATTTCACATCTGTGACCTTTCACATGGGTCAAGGTCAATTTTAGCAAGGAAGCTTACAGTATGGGCCAGTTATCATTACTCTACACCATTGGATCTTTGTTGAAGGGTTTCAATTTGTCTCACTTATTAATGTGGGTTTATCCTAGCCAGCTTCAGGCCAAACATCACTGCTCTAAGCCTTATGGACCTTTAGAAGAAGTTTACAGTTTTTAACATATTTGACTCTTGTGCCCTAGGAAGTGGAGAAAAGTAATATATTAAGGCAAACTTGATTCACACAAGCCAAGCTACAGGCCAAATAATGTAACACCAGATCTCGTGGATCTTCAAAAGAACTTGTTTAAATATTTTAATGCATTTGTCAACCAGTGGCCAAGAAAGCGGGCCATTGACGCGTATTGGAATAAACTGGATAGCCCTTCATCCGAGACAGTATAAGTTTTATATTACTAATCTAGACTTGCATATCTAAAGAAGAATCCATGTACATGTAAGTTTTTATAAATATCATCATTTCTTTTGGCTATTTTGACCTTAAGAAAAAGTTGTGAAAAGAAAAAGTTGACACTGATTGGAAAGTGGACCACTGCTCACAGGCACTTCATGTCAGATGCAGAGCTACAAATCTTGTGATCTTCAAACCAATAAATAATCTGTACATCTTTTTCTCATTTCACAAAATCATAATGTTAAGTATTAAACATACTTTGGCTGAAAGGTGCTGACTTACCATTAAAAGGTAGGAGGTTAGCAGCATGCCAGTAGTACGTCTGGGCCTGTTCTATCTGCTGTCGGTAACGAGCTGAAACACATAGGCATGTCAGTTTGTAAAACATCCACCTAGTATATAAATGTTCTGGACACACATGTGCACTAATAATAGATCTACAGAATAATGACTACAGTCACATAAAAAACCAATGTTTCTAGAGAAAAGTACCAGTCACCAATATCTATAGAGTAGTGTGCAACCCCTTCAAAGTAGTAACAAGCTATGATTTACAGAAGAGTGACCAGTTCAGCAGTGACCAGCCCCTAGAGTAATGACCAGTACCAACTGAATAATGACCAGCACCTAAAGTAGTTAAAGTAGTAACCAGTCATCACAGAATAATGACCAGTTCATATCAATGAAAAACAAATCAATATTTCTGCAAAGTAGTACACAGTCCCTGAAGAATAGTGACCAGTATCTAAATAATAATGACCAATAAAATACAACTGACCAGCCACTACAGAGGAGTGACTAGTTCCTATAGAACTAACCTGTCCCTACAGAGGGTGACTAGTTCCTTAAGAATTGTGACCAGTCACTACAGAGGAGTGACTAGTCCCTATAGAGGAATGACCAGTCCCTAGTGAGTGACCAGTTCATACAGAGGGGTGACAAGTCCACACAGAGGGGTAACCAGTCCATACAGAGGGGTGACCAGTCCATACAGAGTGACCAGTCAATACAGAGGGGTGACCAGTTCATACAGAGGGGTGACAAGTCTAACAGAGGAGTGACCAGTCCCTATAGTGGAATGACCAGTCCCTAATGAGGATTGACCAGTTCATACAGAGAGGTGACCAGTCCATACAGAGGGGTGACCAGTCCATACAGAGGGGTGACCAGTCCTACAGAGGGGTGACCAGTCCCTATAGAGGAATGACCAGTCCCTAGTGAGTGACCATTCCATACAGAGGAGTGACCAGGTCATTCAGAGGGGTGACTAGTTCATACAGAGGGATGACCAGTCCTACAGATGAGTGACCAGTCCCTATAGTGGAATGACCAGTCCCTAATGAGGATTGACCAGTTCACACAGAGGGGTGACCAGTCCATACAGAGGGGTAACCAGTTCACAGAGGGGTGACCAGTCCCCGCTAAGGAATGACCAGTCCCTATAGAGGAATGACCAGTCCCTAGTGAGGATTGCCAGTTCATACAGAGGGGTGACCAGTGCTTCAGAGGGGTGACCAGTCCCCACTAAGGAATGACCAGTCCCTATAGAGGAATGACCAGTCCCTATAGAGTAATGACCAGTCCCTTGTGAGGATTGACCAGTTCATACAGAGGGGTGACCAGTCCGTACAGAGGGATAACCAGTTCATACAGAGGGGTGACCAGTCCCTAGTGAGGATTGACCAGTTCATACAGAGGGGTGACCAGTTCATACAGAGGGGTGACCAGTCCCTACTGAGGAGTGACAAGTCCCTATAAAACTGACCAGTCCCTGCAGAGGCCAGGGTGACCAGTTTCTAAACAATTGTGACCAGCACCTGAAGAATAGTGTCCTGTATCTAAATACTAGTGACCTGTGACTACAGAAGTGACCAGTGCTTATAGAGGAGTGACCAATACTGACCAATGTCTCCTAGGTGGACCAGACAGTGTTGACATATATACAGGCAGGAACTTTTCTTAGGGGGTGTTATCTTCACCTTCATAGGAATTTTCTCTGTGGAGATGACAAAAATATAAAATGGTAAAATAAAATCCATAAAATAATTTTCCACTTGATTTAATCAATATTGAATATTATTGAATTTCCTTATTACTGTATTAAATTTGTCATTGCTCATATGAAAGTAGTAGCTTCCAAGGCTCAGTACATGATTATCAGGAGTAAATACAGGTCGCAGTACTGTATATACTTTGTTCTTGTTTAGGATGGTATTTTATAAATGAATCAATAGCTCAAATCATGATTATTGTAGAACTGTTCTTTGATGATAGAGGACTTAATAGTTTTATTGTAAATACTGATGGTTACAGTAAAACCTGCTACATTAACAATATTCGGTCTGTAACGACTGTTTTAACACATGTTATGTTCCTTTAAGTATTTTTTTCTTTTCAGTGTTTTAGATTACAATATTCACATCTAGCAAACATACCTTTCAAAATGCCAAAGCAGGAAGATTTTCTCCTGAAAGGGAGATCCAGTTTGAAGGTTGTACATATCAGCTGCAGCAACTGGAAAAAAGATAGGATACATCATATATCCCGTACATATAGCACAAACTTAGCTGCATTTTATCTCCTATACTTGTGCATATAGTAGAGGCTTGTCTGATGAAGAACCGCTATGATCTGTATCCATGTCCGTCACTAAATAATTCTGCTGTCTTACAGCAGATGATAATAAAAAACATTTTGACGTGTTTCAATTGTGACATCATAAACGTCATCTGATTGTGACGTTATGAAAGTACAGGTCACTGAGTGCACTCGTGTGGGATTAATAGAATCTCTCACCCCCAAGGGGGTGAGATAGGGGAATCTCAACCAGAGGGGGAAGATTCTTATGTTGCGAAACACGAGGCTTTGCCGAGAGTTTGGCAACTTAAGAATCTTTCACTGAGGGTTGAGATTCCCCTATCTCACCCACAAGGGGGTGAATGATTCTTTTTCTCTTACCCTGTTTTCCCAATGTGTATCATGTACACAATGTCTTGTTAACGTTACATGCTAAATTCAGGGTTGACGTGTCGTTGATGGATTGTTGACGTGACGTCATTGTATTGTTGAAGTGACGTCATACCATTGTTATGAATAGGGGAATCCCCCCGTCTCAACCCTAGGGTGAGGCAAGGAAATCTCACACTGGTAAAAGTGTTGATACACCTGACCAGGCTAAGAGAAACACATATCTGTCATAGGCAGAGATAGGAAAAAACACTAAGATTTCTGTCTTAAGAATGTAAGAAAAGCAATCGGTCATGATGTACTCATGTGGAATTTCTGAGACAGGGGTGTCTAACCTCTGTATAATGGGGCCTACAAGACAGGAACACTTATCTCATCAGAAGGGAAATGTTATTACATAGGTCCTATCATTGGAGAAGATAGCTCTCATCACATGGAGGGGGGACTCTCAAAGGATAGAAAACGACTCACCTGTAGGTAAAAGCCACTTGCTGTCTCCAAGAATAGGTTCAGCGTGGCCTGGGTCTCCCCTCGCTTGGGGTTCTGCAATGACAATGTTACATACTCATGGAACAAATAACATAAACAATTTATCATGTTTCTATATCAACGTTAACATTCCTTACTCAGATACTTTTGAAAGCCTACCATGATTTTAAGTAATTGTAAGTTCATTGTAACCCACATATAAACACCTCCATGTAATACCCTCATTTAATTTGCAATTTTGCTTACTGTTAGCATATTTCAATTAATGCTGCCACAAGTCTTCTAAAAAAATCCTTTATACATCTAGCTCAACATACAATTTTAAGCCAAAATCTGGTTGAATAAAAGGAGGCAGTGTAATGCGTTTTACTGCATTTAGGCTTTTTTATTGCAGTAGATAAACAAGATGAAATATTTCATCTCCATTTAGAGATCTATCCAGTCATGTATACAATGTGTCTCTCACATCAAGTTCTGTACACAATGGGACGACACTCATACTGATCTGGTTTCATAGGAAATGTGGTTCTCATATCTGGTTTTTTTGATAATATTTGACTCACATTTATATTTGTATAAACTATGACCTTCATATATTTAGTTTTGTGCAAATTGTAACTCTCATTATGTTTAAGGGTAACAGAGCCGACATTGGGTGTAGGTGGGTTGATCAGTGGGGGGCTTAGCTTTGAGTACGGAAATCAAAAGGTATGCAGGGCAATTACAGAACATAGGCACATATAAAGCAAACAGATATAATCACAACCTACTCGAATGTTACCAATAAGTGGGTTTTACAGTTTATTAGACCAGCTAGTTTTGCCTCTGAGGTTCAGGCTTCAGACCCTGATGAAGCCTCAACTTTAGAAGCAAAATTAGTCAGCCAAATAAAGTTTAAAACCCAATTATTGGTGACGCTTGAGTATATTGTGATTATATTTATTTTCTCATTATGTTTACAGCATAGATATATGATGAGGAGGCATGGTAGTCTAGTGGTAGGACGCCGGGCTCGTGACCAAAGGTTGCGGGTCTGAGTCATGGCACAGCACTGTGTTGTATCTTTGAGCAAGATACTTTCCTCCGCTTGTTCCAGTCTACTCAGCTGTAAATGAGTATGAGGTTGGGCAGTGCTAGAATTGTAGAATGCTAGCTAAAAATTGGAGACCGGCTGTATGCTCCCCAGGGAGTTGAGAAAGATATTGGCTGGTTGCAAAGGCCTTATAACCACGGATAATAATTTGTGAACCGATTTGAGACGACCTACGACCTAGGTAGTAGGTTGTGATAAAGCGGTATATAACAACCTTGAATTATTATTATTATTATAATATGATTAAGATAATGAAGTCCTCATACATTTACACCTGTATACAACCTTACCTGTTTGTCTTTAGTTTGGGACTGTAAACTGTTGATGTGATTTTTAAAAGCATGGTTCCACCTACAGGGCAAAAAAAGCATTGTCAAACACTTTGATCATAAAACAATCATAGATTGGAGTCAAAGAGTCATCTCTTAACTTATTGTTATACAGATTAAAGAATTTTCTGCTATATATATTGTAGGACATTAAAGGTAGTTTCATACAAAACACGAAATCTGAAATATTTACATCAGTAATTTAGTATAATCACAATATATTTGCACGTTCTGAAAATAGGAGAAAAGTGAAGGAGCAACCTGAAATAATGCATTACACAACCAGGAACAATTAAATCTTCTTACAGTCCGTCACGGTTAGTGAACAATTAAATCTACCTACAGTCCGTCACGGCTAGTGAACAATTTATAAACATAAACCATAAGTCCAATTGATTATCAGTGATTTTTTTGCTCAGTTTTACAGCTAAATACAGGCTGTTTCCCCTAGCTAAAAAGTGTCTTATTTTCCCAAAATGACCAAAACATGAGGAATATATTCCTAATTCTATAAAAGTAATGCTATATTTTTCCAATTCATAAAGGAACATGCTGTTGTAAAATTTAGTCCATGAGAACTTACATCACAGAGGAAAACCTGATGATTCAAAAAACACACTTACCCACTGACTTGACACATCTTTAACTGAGTCTGATATTCATCAGTCAAATATACAGAAAATCAAAGTAATCATCCTACTCTTTCAAATATGTGTTATTGTACTCACAGGTCTTGCTCTACTTTCTTATCAAGAGCATACTCCAAGTCCATCAACAGCAGTTTCTTGTACAGATCTTCCAATCTCTGTCTGGCCACCCATGTTTCTGATATACCCTTGTTTGAATCTAGTTGAGAACATAAATATATGTATACACAATAATATACAGGACAACCTGTCAATGTCAATTAGAGAGGGCACATTTACCATATCATTTCATATAAGAATGTATGACATTGTGTCAAGACCAGTCAGATAGGACAAATATCAATGTTGTTTAGAGGGGATTTAAATATAAATATAAAACTGTATTATATCAGTCAGGTAGGAAAAATATAGGACATTTTGTCATTATCAAATAATGAGGAAAATATGTAACATCATGTCAACCAGAAGAGACAAATATCCATCATTATACTAAGGTCAATAAGTGGAAACAAATACAGAACAATGATCAAGGTCAATAAAGGGGTCAACTATACAACTATCTGTCGAATCAATCAGATAGGAAAATATCGGACAGTGTGCCAAGGTCAATTGGAGGAGACAAATATACAATAAAGTGTCAAGGTCAAACAGAACTGGGGAAAATTAACTGTGAATTAATATGGTATACCTTATTACAGAAAACTGCAGACAGGGCTTGTATTGGGAAAAAGGTATCAATGAATATTGCCTTTATAGTGAATACAGATATCAAATTATATCTGCATGATTTTGGGTTCCCGTTTGTCATGGTTGGAAATGACATGGCATACAAGTGTACATGATATTGTCTTGACAATTATGCTGAATTTATAAATCATCACTCCTATTTTGAAAACCTTGGTCATTATCAATGCTGTCTGTTTAAACTCAAGCTTTAGGATTTCTGTGAGCAGTGTGTCTGTGCTTACCTGATACACTTGCTTTGAGCGCTTCTGCTTGTCTGAAACAGAATCAAACATTTTGTAAAAACAATTTTAATGTTACCAGTGGTACTTATATAAAAAGTTCTATAAAAATAGTGAACTGATTCAGCTGTGTTAACTTCATTAGTTATTTGTGTAGCATTTTTACCTACTCTCAGCTCTAGATCTACATATGGCTGAATAGATTTGGTGCAGTTAACTTATTTTTGAGAACACTGGAAATGACATTACATATAAAACACAAAGTTTCCTTTACATTAATACTGTTGCATTTCCCTTCACAAACATTTCAACACTGAGAAACATGTAAAATACAAGTTAATGAATGTAGATTTTATTTTGACTTGGCTTGTTACTGAAAACATTTCTAATTTACACAACATGTGCATTGATAACAATCAGATTATTCTACATCACATATATTAATGGAATTGAGCTATTTAAGATATTCCAAGAATCAAGTTAAACAATAGACTTTGGATTTTATTTTTTCCATTGTATTGAGGCAGATTTTAATTGTACATAGGATTACGGTCGCCTTAAAGCTTCTAGCTTTGAGCTAGAGGGATTTTCCATTTAGCTCAGTGGTAGAGTGTCCGACTAGGAACCTAGGGATCACGAGTTTGATTCCCAATAGAAGCACACTACTCTCTTTCCTGTTACAGTATATTTGGCATATTTTTTTTTAAATTACAATAATTTACTTCCAGATGAATAATCGAAGTTAATAATACAATGGTTTGGAAATCTCTCCCAAATTGAAAGGAAAGGTCACTTTGGAAGCCTCAGGAATGTTTCTTCGTTAATGCATTTGTCAAGCACAACATCAGTTATCAAAAGAAAAACAGATATTTCTTCCTAGTTTTCTCTCAACTCAATTCCTGGAAACATGTTTTTTTTAAGAATATCAACTGCTGTGAGACAATCTATGTACATATTCCTAGACTGATTTTAAAGGTATTTATTTAAAGGTAGCTGAGCCTTCAGTTGGTATAGTATATATAACTGTCTAAAGTTTTGGATATCCTTGCTTTGATCGGGAAAAGAATACACCGGCTGTTACCCACTACATGTATCGTAGGAGGCGACTAATGTGGGAACCCTTTGCAGTCGTTCGGGACATATAAATTTTTCACTTATAAATTACATTTCGCTCCAGTTTCATATAAAGTCCTGTATGACCTGTGTCACGACTTACCCGTGCTCGGGATCATTAGTGTTACCCTGATTGCTAGCGCTTAAGGGGATACCTACCAACATTCACCCGATTGACAGTGTGTTGTTACCTGATGAAACAATCTCATTATTACATACAGATCTAGAGGAGCTTATAAAATTCAACATTCATTTTCTTTCATTGATAGGTTGATTCCTTGTTTGATATCGTAATAATATGTTTTCAATTCGCTCTATTCTCCATTATTGACATTAAGAGACGAATAAGTTAACATTGATTCTAACAATGTTTTCAGCATTATATTTTTTCTATATTGAAATTAAATTTCATGAAAGTAAAAACGTTAAACACATAGAATGTTTTAGACATGCATGAGAATCAATTCATCAAATCCAGCAATATATTTTGAGTGATGTTATTATGTTGTGTATTTTTATTCATGTTTTATTAAAATCATGTAATGGTAAATGTATGACGGGAGAAGGCTATGATAAGTTGTAATAACTTTTATCCAATCGATTGTTTAAATTTATTTGACATTAAAATATGTTTAAAGAAAAAAGACAAGGGCATCTTCAGAAGAAGAAAAAAGACGAAAAATTCTGATACGACTTTTGACATGTCCCGAAACGACTTTTGTCTTGTTACCGAAACGACCTGACACCGAGGCAAGCACACCATCATACGCTATCTCCATACACACACACAAGCATGCATACACTTCACACATGGAGGCATGTCCTTAAATGACCTTAGCTGTTAATAGGATGTGGAAAAAATAAACAAAACCGAACTTTGGAAAGAAGCTGAATGCAATTAATTACACGCCGGCAGTGATTTGTATTTAAAATGACTGGAAAGGAAGTCTCATATTGATTAATGAATGCAATAATAGGAGACAATTTCAATCGATCACTGGCTGTGCAAGTCATAATTTCAATGATATCAAAAACACAAAAAAACATTACTCAGTGTCTATATATCAGCTTATTTTCCACGAACTTTTATCATGTGACATTTTCAAAAAACACCTTATATTTTTTAATTTTTATAATCTTTAGTAACAGCACTACAAGTGTTTGATGTAAATCGAGCAGTTGACGACTTTGAACAGTCATTCACATGTGATATCTGACATTAACTGGCTCTACGGAGTCGAGCGAGGGATCCAACTTGTCCATCTTACAAACGACACGGGATACATATAAATCGCTACAGTAAGCCAGTTTGAAGCACACTTACTAGCGCAATCTGTCAATGCATGTATATATATTACACATTTGATCATCATATTTTTGGTATGATAGTGCATGTGTTTGATGCAAAGTCATTGATATCATGCCGAGATCATCTAACATTGTCCCCGATAGAAGTTGTATTCCATATCCATGGGCTAAACTGTGTAAATAGTATGTTGAATGTACAGTTAAGTTTCTAGTCATTCTGAAACTACCTTAATACTTGCGCTGCTGAACTCATACTTTGCAGAAAAACTCGAAGTTTTGCAAGTCCCACGAAACATTGCTAGGTGGCCGCCATTTTGGGTTACAACAACCGAAACAACGGAAGAACGAAAAGTTACACTAATGCAAAACTGGAGAAAACCAAATTTTCCGGAATAAATATCATACGGACCATGTGAAAATAATTTCTTACATTAAGTGATTATGCTTTTATCACCAAGCTAGTTGTAGGTAATTGGCATTTGCATTTAGATATGGAAGAGAGTGGTATGTTGCCTATAGGTTCGAACTAGCGACCCCCCTGCTTCCCAGCCCGCCCGGCGGTCTCCTGTAACTTAACGTCACTTGTACCCAAAAACGGGACACTATTTAGATAAAGATCAATGTACATGATACCTATCATACTATCAATTCTAAAAATGTTTGTTAATTTTCCATAAATAGATATCGTCCACTTTCCATTTCTATTATAAACTATCTACTGAACAGGTGTTACTTAGAGACGTATATAACACAGTTAAAGTCTTGGCTTTATACGTCTCTGTGTTACTGTACCCCGAAAGGGACACTTTGTCTTTTTGGCTAATATTTGGAAATAAGCAAGCAATATCAGTAGAACATTTTACATAGTTCAAACATTTTAGAGTCAAATGGGGTTCTGATTAAATTTCTTCTCCGGAGTAGCGTTAGTTTTGACACGGAATTAGTTCTCTAAGTCTGTGGTTTTGACAAAATAAACTTTTGAAAAAGGGAAAATAATGTCCAAATAAATAGCGTCGCACGTGCAATAAATCACGAAAGTTTTGTTTTAATATTGATTCTTACCTTTAATTTGTCCATGTAACAGTAAACAATAAAGCTTATAAACAATTAAATTGTCATAAAAGTATCATAAAGTGAAAACTGCATTGATAAAAGTGCTTTTTTTGCATTGCATGACCGTTTCTTGGGTCGTTTTCCCACTGTGTCCCGTTTTGGGTACAGCGACGTTAGAGCGTAACCCTATCAAGATCATGCTTAAAAAAGGCTGAAACATTTTTTAGGTATAATTAATCTTTTCTCTCCTGACTACATTATCCCCCGTTTCCTAAAGCTTTACTTGGCAACACCTCGCTTGTGTTCTGAGCCAAGACCGAAGAGAGGGTGTCCTATTCAATTGATTCCGTCGTGTTTGATTTAATTCATTGTTTACAACGTCTACTGTATAAAAAAGTATTTAACTCGGAAGACTCATTACCAAAAAGTAATACTTCCAAATTGATTATAGTACAAGATCTTAGTTTACTATAAATTTCGCTTCTTTCAATTACATATAAAAATTAAGGACTTTCAAAAATATAGTGAAACGCATTTGCACATGGGTTTCCGCACAAGCAATCCGGACTTTCAACAAGATTAACTCTAAATAAATCACTTTTTTAACGCACTACAATTATGTCTTAGCTTTGTATGTATTATATAATAATAATTCGAGGTTCTTATATACCGCTTTATCACAACCTAGTTTGTAGGTCGTCTGAAAGCGGTTCACAAATTGTTATCCGCTGTTATAGGGCCTTTGCAGCTAGCGAATATCTTTCTCAACTCCCTGGGGAGCATACAGCCGGTGCTGCCATTCCGGCGCTCACAGCTAGCATTCTACAATTCTAGCACTGCCCAACCACATACTCATTTACAGCTGAGTAGAATGGAATAAGCGGAGTAAAATATCTTGCTCAAAGATACAACATATTGCCGTGACTCGAACCCGCAACCCTTCGGTCACAAGCCCGGCATCCTACCACTAGACTACCGTGCTTCCTAAAAGCACGGAGCACGGAGCTCTCAGAGCGAAAGTGAGCGTAACCTATTTATGTATCTCGTTCCTTGGTAAGAATATTCTGGAGTGGTAGCTAAATTTAAGTAATGAATTACTACATTCCTTTGAGAATAAAACATTCGAATTTTGTTTTTCTTTGAATTTTATTATTTATTTGTTTGTTTAAATGCCATGAAACGTTGTATGCCATTCCCTAATTTCAATGAAAACGATTCGCACTGGTGACTTTTCTGTAATAAAAAAATATATTTAAAAACAAACATTTGCTGCTTAAGAATTAATTTCTTTGACTGATGACCGCTTAAACCGTATTCAGATATAAAACAATAGGCCTTACAGTCATTGTAGAATTGCCACACGTATTTCCAATCAGGTTAAAAATTCAGACATAAGAGAAAAAGAAAGAATACTAGTTATAATGCAAAATCTATCATCAGACCTTTTGGTTTGGGACGATTTCCAACCGTGAACTTTTTTCTTTCTCGGTAGTAGAACCCCTGCTCCCAAACATACGGTGTTTTTATTCGTAGTTGATTCGTTGTTCAAGAGCTTGTTTAGTATATGATTTTCCTGACAGGTGTTGACTGCTAACGGAAAAACTTACAACGATGGAGGTCTAGGAAGACTTTGGATAAGCTTTATGGTCGCAGTCGTGATCACCATGGTTTGGTCATTTTCGCTCTCTACACCGTAGCAAAATCGAGGGCTCAATGTGCAGCACCTGGTGGATGAGACGAGAAGGCTAGTTTGGCCTTTGATGTACATCAAAAGAATCTCGCGGTCGTGTAACGGTAAAACTTACTGGCTGTGAAGTCGGGCGTCAATCCTCTGAACTCTTCTAAGGACAAGTATCAGCCTAGTGATTGGTCGTTTTTTTTACCCGACACCAATCAAATAGCTAGCCGTTCCCTTCAATTTTGCTATGATATATTCTAGGGGTGCAGAGAGCGACCCATCGAGTATCGAGCACATGGATCTGAGCATTTGTTACAGCTATATTTGGACTTAAATTAAGGTGTTCAGACTAATTTTACATGTTTTAGGGGGTTAAGATTGACTTTCTGTAAAGAAGCCACCCGAATAATTATATAACGAGTATATAATCTGTGGGGGGTGGCATTTTTACCGAAAGTCCATCTAAACCCGTAAAACATATAAATTATTCTGAACACATTAGTTTAGGTCCAAATATAGCTGTAAAAAAATCTCAAGTCCTTGTGGTGTCGAGGATGTGTAAGCCCAGGATATCGAGGAAATGTTTTAGTATTCTCTAGGTTTTTATGGACAAGTTCTAATATGGATGTCGTCAGTCAAATGTCAAGGTCATTGGCACTGAATAAATCCATTGTTACACTAATTATCATCATTCTATCAGTTAAAGTCTTGACAGATTTTCATGAAACTGGTCTATTTGCCTTAATAGGAGTCATAACTCAAAGGTCAAATTCTCTGTTACTTATAATAGATTTTTTAATCACATACATTGTTACCACTTTAACGTCCAATCACCTAACTTCACATTATATATGGAAGCTTTGTCAAGTTCAGTGTTACTTAAGTAGAAGTTTACACGAAATGGTTCGGTTTGTATAGAACTTCACCAATATGTTTGCCTTTGACAGACTACTGACTATCGTCGTTGAGGATCAATGTTAAGATCACTGTTACTGAAAGGTAAGTCCATAAGTATGGTTTAAATGTGTGACTGAGATAACTATATATATTCGTTAGTGTGTAGCGGGGCTATGATGCCGTGTTTGCAATGCTATTATTACAAATCGGAAGCATGACTATATCCTCTCTTGCAAATAAATATTTTGTCCATAAACATTATAATAATTAAATACAAAATATTAGGAAGTTAAAGATGCGTCACATTTTTCTGGATTTGCTAAAATTAAAAACGTAGGAAACTAAGGGAATTATATAGAAAAAATATAAGTGGGAATACTTTATTCAGTAAAGCTACTTGGATAGAAGGTGGTGAACATAAATGCTGTTTGATTATTGAAAATATACATAAATAAGACAGTTATGAAAAGAGCTGTGTGAAAGATCGAGATATGATGAACTACCCAAATTAAATAGAAGTATGGAATTAAGCTGATGAAGGGGAACTAACTCTAAAACAAGCTGGTGCTACAGTTGGATATTGTTTGTATGGCAACCCTTGAAAAAGTATCGAAGAAAACGACCAGCTGTTCCGGAGGGTAAGCGTGCTTTGCTCTTTCGACGGTACCTGCCATCTGCCACATCTCCAATACGATTTATTTAATTTCTTTAAAATCACAGTAATGCTATTATGATCCCGGATTTGCCAAGATATACACAATTCTTCTCGGACTTCACCAGGCAATTTTAAGGAAAAATAATTACCACCATGACCGAATGTATTTTGCTGTCAATTTGAAATTCGACATAGTCACTGTTAACTTTAAATGATTTTATTTCTATATAGCTTTCTTTTTAATCAAAATCACATTGATGTAACCCGTATGGATATTGGTCAAAGGAATCGCGTTTCCGTTTCATAACAATGAGAAAATACTATAGTCGATAAATGATAACAATTATGTTTTTGGAATTCTCTCTTAATTTGTTTATCAATTTAATAAAAAAATACCATATCGAGACAAAAGAAAATGTTAGCCAGTCCACACACATATATATCTACCCGATTTATTTTATCTTGGTTTTTATTAATGGTAAAGTATCTATTATATATAACAAAACTGGTTGTTGTCTTATAAAAGTCCTCTTATGAATACTATCGTTCCGTTTGTATTTTTACTATAGTCCTAGATTAAAATTTTAAAATGAATGTTTCTTAATCATCATAAAATGCTATACACTGTGTTTGCAGGGGATATAATAATTTGCATATGGTGGGCTTTCATTGTGTCAAAAATAGTCGAACCACAAATTTCTTTCTTTCAGGACCAAGTTACACAAAGGGGGAAAACTCTAGATTTAACTCAAAGTGTGGGCGTCACGGATACCCTTATCCCCACATATCTACATACTGAGTTTGAACCCCATTCATAAACTGTGACCGAGATATGCTGGGAGAAACTTGTATTACTGTATTTTTAACAGAACTTTGGGTCACTGTCAAAGGTCAAATTGAGGTAACAGTGACCTTCTTTTAGGGTGCAATGAGCACTTACCCCTGATGTACTTATACTCAACGTTTGATACCAATTCATCAAACAGCAGCAGGAATATGCTGTGGAAACCATACTTTTGGTACTCTAGGT